GGTATGGAGGAAGAGAAAATGGTGAGACAAAGAGGGGGGATAAAAGGATAATTGAGAGAGTGAGGTGGTGTGAGATGGGGGGGGGGGGGGGGGGGGTCACCACATCACCACGGGAGAGACAAGAGCAGACACCGAGGATAGAAGAGACAGACAAAGAGCCGCATCAACCAGGGAAGGCGCAAGATACGACAGACAAAACAGCCACAGCAACCATCGCACCACCGGCTTTTATGCAGGGGTGGCACTTTGCGCTGCTAACAGGGAGAGGAGGTGTTCGGTTGTTCCACACGGTCTTTCACGCGGTACGGTGTTGCCGCCACGCTGCCTGGCGTGGAACAAGAAAGCGTCACGAAACCCTGGCCCGTACACCTTCGCCTATCGCAGATAAAAAAAAATCTCAAAGCGGGTGATAGTTGTGCCGTACCTGAGCTCTGCGACCACCGCCTCGTTTTCCGCCCTTAGCTTAGCCGCCTGCTCCTCCAGTCTCTTCTGCTCTCACCAAACAGGAATAAAATCAGAACAAAACAAGGGGCCCCGCCACATCAGCAGCACCAACGAGGGACCAACATTATTGTCGCCATGATTTTTTTGTGGGCCGTTGGGAGCATCTTCCCTCGCAAAAATTACACCAGCCGTGTACGAGGAATGCAGGAGTACGCGAGACGGCTTCTTGGAGGAGCGAACTGTTGCCGTCACGCATGTACAAAATCTGTGTTTCGTGTGCTGTGGGGAATGCAGTGGTGTGTTGTTGGACGTGGGTGACTAACCTCCCTGGCATTAATGCGCAGGACCTTTGAGTTACAGTTTTTTTGCTTATCTACGGGCAAATGCGCGCTACAGCAGCGATATCTCCCCCGTGGCTGTAACAGGCTCGACAAGAATAGACACACCCCGAGATCATGTGGAAGGCGGCACTGACCCTCACGGAACTAATAAAACAAGGAGACAGTGCACACGTCACCAAAGGAGAACTGCTGCCGTAGAACCCCCCCCCCCCCCCCAACTAACCTGGGGGGGGGAAAAACCGGTAAATTACTCCCTCCCGTCCGGGGGATGCGAAAACAATAATCTGACGACTACGGGATGGGTTTAAAAAAATAAAACCCCCACCCCCCCCCCCCCCCCCCGGGGTCCCCTAAAAATGGGATTGTTCGCCCCAAAGCCGGGGGAAAACCCCCCCGGGGGGGGGGGTTTTTTGGAGGGAGGGCCAAATTTTTTTTTTTTTTTTTTTTTTTTGGGGGTTTCCTCAACCAAATTTTTTGGGAGGATTGGGATTTTTTCTGGTAAAACCCCCCTTCATTTCCTCGGGCGAAGGGGGGGGTTCCCCCGGGGGTGGGGCTTTTTCGGGGTTGGCCCCCACCTCGCGCTCCCAAATTTTTTGGGAAAATTGGCCCTCCTTCTTGGGCCTTTTTAGAAACTTGATGAAGTTTCTTTCCGGGGCCTTTAGTTTTTTCCCCTCTTTAGTTTCCCCC